TCCGACCCCGCGTCGTCGCGCCGCCGCTGGGACGACATCGCGGCCCGCGGGGCTCCGGGGACGGCTCCGGGCACTTCCTCCTCCCCGACCCCGCCTTCCCGCCGAGGGTCCTCAAATCGGTGCTCCGAGCCCCGCTTCCAGCAGCCAGGCCGCGGGCGCCCCCTGGCAGCGTTGGGGAGAGGGCGAGGCCGGAGAGGACTTCCGGGAGCGTCAGGGCCGCAGGCCACGCCCCCTCCGGTACAGGTTGGGCCTGCAGGCTGGAGCCCCTCTCACAAGTGGGGGGGTCTTACTGCTGACCCTCTCCCCACTAGATACGCATGTTAGAATTAGAATTAATAAGTTTATTGACTTATGTTTTGGGCAGTGGGGCTTGAACTCACGGCCTGGGCGCTGTCACTAAGTTCTTTTGCTCAAGGCTAGCACTGCCACTTTGAGCCACGTGGCCACTTCTGGTTTTCAAGTGGTTAATTGGAGATAAAAGCCTCAAGGACTTATCTGCCTGGGCTGTTGAACGGCGATTTTCAGATCTCAGCCTCCTGAGCAGTTAGGCTTACATGTATGAGCCACTGGCGCCCAGATGTGTTTTTATTTATTTTTTTCATTTTTGTCGGTCGTGGGACTTGAACTCTGGGCCTGGGCACTGTCCCTCAGCTCTTCAGCTCAAGGTGAACACTCTACCACTTGAACTGTAGCAGCACTTCCGGTTTTCTGGTGGTTTATTGGAGATAAGAGTGTTGTGGAAGGGCTTGGAAGGTGGCTCAGTGGTAGAGCGCTTGCCTTGCATGCATGAGGCTTTGGGTTCGATTCCCCAGCACCACATAAGCAAAAAGAAAAAAAGCCGGAAATGGTGCTGTGGCTCAAGTGGTAGAGCGCTAGCCTTGAGCTGAAGAGCTGAGGGACAGCGCCCAGGCCCAGAGTTCAGGCCCCACGACCGGACCCCCCCCCCCAAAAAAAAAGAGTGTTATGGGGACTTTTCTGCCTGGGCTGCCTTTGAACCTTGGTCATCAGATCTCTGCCAGCCTCCTGAGTAGCTAGGATTACAGGCGTGACACCACAGCTGGCGTGTTTATTTATTTTTATTTTTTGTCCGTCTGGGGCTTGAACTCTGGGCCTGGGAGCTATCCGTGCGCTCTTTAGCTCAAGGCTAACGCTCTATCATGTGAGCTACAGCGCCACTTCTAGTTTTCTGGTGGTTTATTGGAGATGAGTCTTATGTACTTTCCTGCGGGGGCTGGCTTTGAACCGCCATCCTCAGATCTCACCTCCTCAGTGGCTAGGATTACAGCTAGCTACTCAGGGAGCTGAGTTCTGAGGATCAGGGTTCAAAGCCATCTGGGCTAAGAAAGAACAGGAGACTCTTATTTCCAATCAACCACCAGAAAACTGGAAGAAGTATTGTGGCTCACAATGGTAGAGTGCTAGCTTTGAGTTAGGGACAGTGCTCAGGTACTGAATTCAAGCCCTGCTACCTACAAAGAAAGAAAGAAAAAAAGAAAGGAAGGAAGGAGAAAAAGAAAGAAAAGAAAAGAAGGGAAAGAACTGAAACAGTGGTGAGAGGTATAAATAGTTAAACAGCACTGGTGAAACCGTGTTGTCTAGTTGCTTTTTACTTCAATCCTGTCTGGTTCTGCAAGTGGTTCCAAGCAGTCCTATTTACAGAGATAATCCAGGTCCTGTGTCCCCTCAGACCACTATGGCAGTATTTGTTTAGGTATGCTAGGGAAACTGCTGGGAAAACCATGGTTATGTTACAATAATGTAACGTTTGTACTTCTCCACCCTCTACTCAACACCAAGGGCATATTCTGGTGCAGATGTTACTGGAAGGTGAAGGCAAATGGAGTCCTCTACTGGGTTTCTAGGTTTTGTGTTTCTAGGTCCTGGTCAGTGTCAGAAGAGGAATTCAGAAATAAGATGAAGTAAGAAATTTAAGGGGTGAGTGCTTACTAGACAAGTGTTCTATGGCTTGATCCACACCCCAGTCTTTTTTTGTATTGGTTATTTTCCAGGTAGGGTTTTGCTTTATGCCCTGGTGGGACTAGGCTGTGATTCTCCTACTGGTGTCTCCTAGCATAGCTAGATGACAAGCACCTGCCACTGTGCCTGACCAGTGTGCTTTCCCCATAGTTGGGGTGTGTATATGGGTGTGTCATTGCACTCAGCCATTGGTTGAGGTGAATTCCCCAGGAATTTTTTTTGGCCTGGCTAGCCTATAACCACAATCCTCCAATCTCCGCCTCTTAAAGTAGCTAAGATTACAGGCTTGAGCCACTCACTCAGTTTTGAGTTTGAAACAAATCTATCTACCATACGGTAGCCTATAATATGCCAAATCTGCCTACATGACAATTCATTCACAAATATTGTGATTGAGAAGTGCTACGTTCATGTTTTTCAACTGTGGGTAGAAGTCACTATTTCATTAAAAATTTAAATTAGGGAATTGTCAAAAATATCTTTTTTTGGGGGGGGTCCAGTCGTGGGGCTTGAACTCTGGGCCTGGAGAGAGCACTGTCCCTCAGCTCTTCAGCTCAAGGCTAGCGCTCTACCACTTGAGCCACAGCACCACTTCCAGCTTTTTTCTTTTTGCTTATGTGGTGCTGAGGAATCAAACCCAGGGCCTCTGGCTTGCAAGGCAAGTGCTCTAGCACTGAGCCACCTTCCCAGCCCCCCAAATATCTTTAAAAATGAAATTAAGGCTGGAAGTGTAGCTGAGTGGTAGAGTGCTTGCCCAGCATGTACAAGACTTGAGTTTGATCCCTAGTACTGGGAAAAAAGTAAACAGAAGTATCAATGGGTGTTGCCCTCACTCATGTAATAGTATTAGTTTTTTCCTCCAAATTTATATTGTTCTGAGTTATGATACAAAATGGTTGTAGTGTCTTAAAAACACCCACACCCACACCAAAATCCTCAAGGAAACAAAAGCAAAAAATCTCCAAAAAGCTCCACCACCTTGATGACCCCGGTTTTTAGGGGCACCACCTTGCAAGCAAGGCACACAGTTCGAGATGTCTGATTCATGCCTCCCGCCCTGCGATAGCCCCGCCCACACGCCAATCTACTAAGTCCCTCCGAGGGCCCGCCCCTCTCCCTCAGCCCCGCCCCTGAGGTCAACGGACGGGATCAGGGAGCCCCCCGAGAGGGCGTGGCCTGCCTCAAACTCCCCGCGGGAGGCGGGGCTTCCTCAGACCGTGCATCTGAGGACCTGCGTGTAAGGAGCCGGGGTTCCGGCTGGGAAGGCCGTCTGCGTCCCTCCCTTATGCGGAAGACGAGCAGGTAGTTTACGGACGGCCCCGCCCCGGCTGAAGCCACGTTTGGGCCCCCGGCCTGGTGGGAGGCGCCGCCTGTTGCCCAAGCTGGACTACAAGGCCCGGCGGGCTCCGCGGCTCCGCGTGCGGCCTTCCCAGCCCCGTAGGTGTGCGGTGCTATGACAACCGCGCCGCCCCTCGCCTCGAGCGTCTATCGGTCGGTGGAGCCGGGGCCCGCGGTGCTGGCAGCCCCGGTGTCCCGGGCTCCCGGCCGTCTCCGGGCCGTCTCTGGGGGTGGGGGTGGCGGGCAGGGCCGTGCCCGGGTCTTGGGTACTCTGCTCAGCGGGGTCTCGGCGTGCCCGTTCGGCGGTGCTCCTCCTCGCACCCAGGGCGGTTGCTCCGACCCTTGGTTCTTAGAAGCCTGCGGATTGGGATTCCCAGAAAGGTGAGGCGGATCCGCCTGATTTGGCATCAGGTAGGAAAGATCTGGAATTCCAACTTCCGTGCACGGGAAGCCCTGCCGATGTTTTGTCTCGTGGACAAGACTCGACCTGCAATGAGTTGAAATGATGTTTGGAGATGTGTGGTGATCGGTGTCTTGCAGAAGGAGGTTGGAGATGTGTGGTGATCGGTGTCTTGCAGAAGGAGGTTGGAGATGTGTGGTGATC